CCTTATGGGGCAGGACTTGCTTCAGTGGGTCTTCGGCACTCACTAAGTCTGCCCCCTGAGTGTGTCTCTTATGGATGTGAAGAGTTGTAATCTGGATGGTCTCACTCTGACCACTGGATACACTGGCTCTTGGATCTCCAAGGAGGTGAAAAGATAGCATCTGCCTGAGGCCACCCAGCAGGAACTACAGAGAGATCTGCAGATTCCTCTTCTTTGTTTGGGGCTTGGAGGTGCCCAGATGAGGCGCAGCTATGAAGCAATGCAGGCTGCTGATGAGCCTTAGGCCTTCTTTTGGAAGCTCTGGGGTTCTCTGACCCAGCTGCAGTTTGACAGGTTTTTAGGTGGAGAAAGGCTAGGCCATTCACATGCAAAAGTCTCTGCACACAGCTTGGGTGGGGTTGTAAATTGGGTGGGGCAGGGGTCTCCGGAATCACCAGGGCAGAGCAAACCACAATGGCTGCCAGTCTGCTCTGCCTCGGAGAGGTCCTGGGGTCTATGTCCTGCGGCCCTGTGCAAGAACAATGATCGCTGGGTGCACCTCTGAGAAAGCCGCCTTCACGTTCCGGCTGATGCCAGACAGTCCAGTTTTTCTCCGTATGAGTCTGGGTTCCCAGATTCTCACCCGGAACTGGAGTTCAGAGCAGTCGGGAGCTTGTATCTCCCTCCCAATTGAAAAAGACAACAGCGTACCCAGCTGCCAGCCTCTTTCTTGCGCACCTCTGTACCTCCACACTTCCACACCTCTGCACCTCCTACATGGCTCTTTCCTTCTAGTTGTAGAATTTCCACTCAGCCAGCCTTCCCGTGGTTCTGGATGATACTTGTTTTGTCTTTTAGTTGTAGTTTGAATGTGGTTGTGTGTGGCAGCCAGTTCAGGTGTTTACCTATGCCGCCAACTTGGTTGTCCCAATAATAATTTCTAAACTAAAGCTATGGATACTCCAAAGTGATCTTCGTTTCATTAAAGTAGTTTCAGTATTATAACTACTGGATACAGGGAAAACAAATGAAATAGGTTTCCAATGGACATTCAGCAAACCTGAAAATGTGCACACATATAAGCCCAGAAAGTATATATATATTTTTGATAATAAAACACTTAATAGACTTATTCTGAAATCTCACATTACTGAAAACCCGTGTGTTTTAAGGTTGAATAGTAATAAGATTAATAGATTAATCCTCACATACATTTTATTACTCATAAGTCAGTGTCTCATTCTTTCAATCATACAAAATGTGGAGATTCCAACCCTAGGGAATGAGGCACCTCCCCTAAGGAAATGTGCAAAAAATCAAAGCTTCCATTGTTTAACGTGACCAAGTGTTTTGTTGTTTCTTCTTAATTAAAAGTGTTTACACATAACTATAACATTTATTATTCCATTTTCCACTTTATTAAACAAATTTATTTCAAATTGTTTCAGTCGGGATGGTGGACACGGAGCCAGTGTGTGATGCATAGCACGCTGGCTTCAGAGCAGAGTGCTAAGAATGCCGTCAGCTTGTCATCCTCACCTTCTCACTTTCTGATATATTCTTTCTTAGAATTAAGAAGAACTGAAGAGATATCAGATAAATGACAGTGTGCAAATTGAATTGATGTGCAATTCTAGATCACTGCACACGCTCTGAAATGGCAGTTTGCTTTCAGGGACACTTTAAATGTACCACCACCGACTCTTATTTGTGTTCTGGGTGTTATGGGCAAGGGTTTCTGAGCAAGAGAACGTTACTATTGAGAGATCTTTAAAGTCAACACATGAAAGCGTTATTCAGTTCACGGTGACATAATAATGATCTTATTAGCAGTGATATTGTGGCCATGGGGACCGACTTGCCATCAGAAAATCAGGCGTGCATAGCCTTATCTGTGTTTAAAAACTGTGAACATGACAGGGGGATCGCTTTGTAAATTATATAAAAGTCTAACCACTATGCTGTATACCTGAGACTAACATGATATTGACTATCAACTATCACTGAGAAAAAAAAAGGAATAAAATAAATAAAATAAAATAAAAACTGTGAACTTGGACAAGTTATTTAACCTCTTTAAGCCTCAATTTTGAGGCTGAGTTTTCTCACTGACATAGAACAACAGTACTATCTAAGAGTGGTTAGGATTTGACGATATAACCCTGTGAAGCCCTGGTTCAATAAATGACAAAGTGCTCAATAAGTGTTATGAATCATCATCACAATAATTATATTATTAGGTAATAACAATAATTACTTCTAATTTAACTTTCAGAGAACCATTAGCTGCTGCATTGCTCCCTCTTCTATGAGCTGGTTCTAGGTCACCAGCCAGAAAAATATGCATAGACAGAGGTGGTATAGTGAGGTTTAAGGTTTCTTCTAATTACATTCTAAAGTCAAACCTAAATTATTATGGGATTATCTGCTATTTATCACTATCTCTACCTATCTCTCCATCCATTAGTGTTAATTATAACGTTATATATATACATCGGTTTATCATTGAGGAATCAGATAATGCTTTCACGAAAAACTTACCCTTCCACAATAGTTCTGTTAGCCAGTCGTATACAATGTTCCCAAAGTATATTAGACACGGGCAAGGGTATCCGAACTCTCTTAGAAACCTCATTTAACCTCCTGTTAAACTGTTCAAATTCCTAAGAAGACAAAAATCCCAGTTGCATGTGAATGTAATTATAATGCAGCACTGTTTTCCCATCTCAGTGGCAAAAAAGATTTAGGAGGACTCAGAATCAAACCAAGTAAAACCAAGAGATAATGCCTAATTTATTCAATTTGTTACACTTAGAAAAAAACCTTAATAGTATTTAAATTATGTTGTAATACAGAGTATGTACATTACATTTCATCTCAAAGGAAATAAGTGTCATCAACTGATTAAATAATGCTAACCATGTTCAAATGTTCTCACATCTCAATTTTTTCTATGACTGTCAGTATGGATAAAAAGAGTTTGATAATCTATGTTTTTAAAATCCTTTAAAAGGCCCAGTTTTTAAAAAAATGTTTTAAGAAGCTTTAAATTCAGAGTGAACTATTTGTAATTTGTGGCTATCTATATTCCTTAGAGAACAATCTGATAAATTATTCTCCTTAAATATTTTAAAGTAAATAATTATATAGCAAACGATTTGAAAGTCATGTAATAGCTGCAACTTTTTAGTAAGATGGACAAAATAAAATATTTTCAGTTATAAAAAACTGAACATTTTTGTTACTTATTAATAACTTTTATAATACCACTCTACTAAAAATAAAAATATGTGTAACCAATTTAGACAATTCCAGCTACATGAAAGCAGCTAATGGTTCACCCTTTAATAAATGTATTTCTGGTTTCTTTGGACTATTATTGCCTAAATATGTTCATTTACAAAAGTAAATGCTGTTGATCCTTCCTTGACAATATATTTCAAATAAATTTAAGAAGGCTTAAAATGGCATTTTCTGCAATAGAGAAGTTACACAATGCTTAACAAGTCAAGATGGGCATGTGTTCAAATTTTCTAATGACACAGGGAGAAAAAAATCTAATGTGATCATCACCAGTCAAGCTACCACATCATTACTATTATGTTATTCTTTGCTACTTCCTAAATCACAATTTTTTGAGGATTCATTTTGACAGTTAACTGCTTTTAATTATTTATGAAAAAAGTACATCTTTAACCTACTAAGCTTACTTTTGAAAATAAGAGTTAAATAAGTAATTGCTCTTCAATTTTTCATTTCATGAATCTAGTAGAGCAGTAGTATTTGCTATTGTATTTAATGCTTCTTTACAGTAAACTGTGCTTTGAATTTCAAGAGTTTTCATTAATACTTTAAAGTTAAAATTATATGCTTACTGTATAAATGTCATTCTATTCCATTTTATTCATTGCTAAATTCATGTGCAAGAGTGCTTGTTGATAAATAAATAGTAAAACCATTTCTTTTACTGAGGATTCTTTTGAAGCAACAATGCAGAGTGCTTTTTACCTCTAACAGTTTAGACTTGGAAAAATAATAGAACAAAATGTATCATAAAAGTTTATGAAAATTTTTAAGCTGATAAAAACTGGGTTCAGGTTAATAATGTGAATAGCACTGGTTCTTTCTTACATATAGTACTGATGCCCCAGCCCTGGGGAAGGGACCATACCCTGCTGGGCACTGGAGCACTAGAGGTAGTCCACTGCTATCTCTGCTTTGATCATTGGCTTTGCTGACTGGTTCTCAATGTCCCAGGCTATTATTTATTGCCTTGGAAGCAGATAAAAATGTTTGTGTAAGTAAATGAGATAAAAGTCAGGAGCTTAAGGACCAATTTTCTTTTCACAGATAAACAGGAAAAACAAAATTTTTCTGAAAGCACGTTTTCATTTTCTAGGATGCTCTTTTCTCACCTCAGACATCCACATGGCTCATGTTCTCACTTCCTTCAGGTGCCTCCTCAATTCTCAGCATTATTGGAGTCCTCTAACCACAAGTAAATGGTATTCCTCCCCACCCACCCCCTGCCCCTCTCTATCCCTCTTCTGCTGGCCATTTATTTTTTCACAGGACTGTTCCTCACCTGATACATCATATTTTAATTTATCGCTTTTCTACCGTCCCTCACTGGCATGTAAATTCCTTAATTCACAACTACATTGCCAGCACCTACAGCAGTGCTTGCCACATGTCAGGTGATCTATAAATATCTCATGATGCATAATTTTTTTAAAAAAACGACTACAATTCTTTCCAGAAAACTTATAAACATAAATCATTAAATGTAAAGGTATTTGCAAGACACATTGCAAAGGTAATGTGATTTCTGTGAAACACAACTTAGAATAATCGGGTGTATGGTCTCTTGCTAATATACATACAACTGTAGAAATACGTTTTTGTCTCCACAGCCATGGCTTTTGAGGTTACATAACATGAGAATCAGCCAAGTCATGCCAATCGAACTCTAAGTCCAGTGGAAAATTAGTGAGCAAAACAAAAGATCTACAAAGTATTCTTGGGTCTAAAAGAACACAAAATTCAGAAAATAAGCCTAATCTAATTCAGGGACTTTAATATCACGATGCTAGAAATGTGGTAATACTGTAACTATAACTCACTACTTTAGAGCAATTGCAATTATAAGAACAGTTCTCTTAGCAGAATCATCTTTAACAAAGACGTTTCCCAGAGTACTTGCCTTTAACAGTGCATCTACATATATGTTGTGTTGTGACATAATTTCCTTTACATCCCATTTCACATTAGCCATCAGGAGCAGCATCTGTTCATAATCAATGGCTTTACCTGCTACGATCCAGTAAATTGGTTTGCGTAGTTCACTGGCAGTTGAGACTGTCTGAAATAAATTGCACAGAAATGAAAACAAATGTTTTCTAAAGTATCAAATGTATAAAGGACATTTTGCTCCTATTTCTAGGACACATCATATCTGAAAATAAGTCATTAATCATTTGGAGATTTATATTATGAAAATAATTTAATTCAAGGGCAAAGGTCTCACTCAAAACATAATTTTGAGACATTAAGTAAACTTAAGGCTAGAAACAGTAGTTTCTAAAAGAACTACAGATTTTCTTGGAGATAGCAAATACTTCTCAAGTTCTTTCACTTCTTTCCATCTCGACTCCCACTCTCCCCACCTCACAATTCCATCTGACTGCATTTCTGTAACTGCCCTCCAGCCGGTCTGTCTCCATGCCTCTAGGCTTGTCATCTAACGTCCATTCTTCACATTGCTTCCCAAGTACACTTTCTAAAACACACCTCTGCCCATGCCACTCACCGGGGTCAAATCCTCCCGTAGCTTTCGAGTACCCTTGGAATAAAGTCCCACTTCTGGCTGAGAGCCCTGTACCTCGTGTGGCTCCTGCTTATCACTGCGCCATCTTTCTCGTCACAAGCCCGCTTCCCTGTCCTGGCAGCTGGAGTGTCTCAGCTGCTCTCGTGCATCATGCTCTCCCTCCCCTGCTGCCCTTGGTTCAGCCATCCCTTAATTTGGAATATACTCCCCACTCGCCTCGCTGGTCAGGTTTAAACATCGCTTCCTCCAAACAGCCTTTCCAGACAACCTGCTGCCAACCACACCCCTTTCCTCCCGCAGTCAAGGTTAAGTACCTTGTCACTGATTCTTTTCATCTTTTATATTTAAAATAACTGGCTTTCTCTCCCACTGGACTAAAAGTTATAGGAGTTGCCCAATAAGTATTTAATACAGCGACTCAGGGGTGAATAAACAAATATTCTAATCCAGCTTTCCTGGGATTTGGAGACTGGTCACTAGTAAAAAAGGAAACAGAACCAAACCCCTAACTAACGTGTGACAGTCCTCTCTGGCTCCCAGTTGAAATGACACACGAGACAGCCCATCTCTGACCTGAGAATAAAATTGCTGAAGGAAGGGCTTTTTGACTGCAGGCATCACAGCATCCAGATGCGGCTGAAGGAACTCAAATTGTTCAGCCAAGAACACCCTAAAGGGAACAAATAACCCGCCTTGTGAACACAGTACAGGAGTGAGAGCCTGCCAGTGTTTTTGTAAAAAGTAGTCTTCAAGATCTCTAAGCAAAACTTTAACAATTAAAATTATTTTCCACTTTAGTGAACTACCTCTTGACATGCTCATTTACATTCTATATAAAATGAAAGCTCAACTTATCACTGAATGTGAATTGAGGTGGAAGAACGGTGACTTCAAGGGAGCTGATCTGGACACAAAGGTGTAGTTATGCTGCTTTGCATGTTAAGATATGAGCACAGATAATACAAAACATTGGAGAAAGATTTGAAAGGATTTCGTTTAAAGATCCCGTTTAATTACATACAACAGACCCCTGAATTCACAGATTTAACATCTGACACTTATCAGAGGTTACCCAACATTCATAACATGTAACAAACGAACTCAACTGAGACACACATGTGAGCTTCAGGTCCGGAGGCTGGGGTGTAGGAGCCGGAGGCACCAGGCTGGAAGACAGCTGGCAGCCTCACCGTTTTTCTCTATTTTTTGTTATGTACACAAAAATCCTTAAGTTAGAATTGACTACATTTCATGGGAGAAGTTGTCTGCTTCAGGTGTGTTAAAACCTGGGGGATTTATAAAGGTCAGGATGCACTCTTGCTGATGTCAAGAGTCAACTACATTTAACACTGAACTGACAATGTAACTGGTTTCTCCAGAACCATGATTCAATAGGAAATAGAAAGTACACGAGAACATTTTTTAAAGTTTTACTTAAAGCAAGGATCATGTTGCTAAAGACTGAAACTTAGAAGATTTCCCTCCTCCCATTTATGTAACCGAAAACCAAACATGCAGTTTTAAAAATCCATTGGTAATCTATTTTAGGGTATACTTCTCAGAAATACACATTGATATTTTGAAGTGGAAGATATATACAGCTAGAAGTCTAATTATACAAGGCTTACTTTAATAACCTTTCTTAAATATTCAATGGCAAAGTAACTGTTTTTAACAACTTACAAGGATTCTGTGGCTACCACTCTTTCAGCCAATCCATATAATGTATCCCCGGAGGTCAAAACCACTAGGTGACTTAGGTGTGGGCTTGGGACCTTCTCCTTTCGCTCTTCTGCTGCTGTGAGTGTGGCAGTAGGATCAGCTGCAACTTCCTGAAAATACAGCACATACATACGCAATCTGGAACAACAAATCTAATAGCAATAAACCATGTGATTTTACCAAACTGGAACTATAATTCAAACACTCTTAGGCATGCATTAATTACCTTTAGTTCTTGTTCTCTATCCCCCCGCCCTCTTTTTATATTTTCTAACTGCTGGAACATTCCTTTTTATACTAAGTGAAAATGATCCAACTCTATATGCTGTAATCTGTGCATGAACTACAGTTGGCCAACACAAGGAATCTTCATGAATCAAGAGATGTTTCAGAGAGACAACAGTGAGAGATGACTTTCAAGAACTTACAAATGAGGGAAAAGAACTAAGCTAAGTATCAAAATTATGGTGTGATTCACCATTTCACACCCAAGTCTAACCAAGGTAACTTTGAAATAATCTCAAGAAAGCAGGACTAGAATGTAGTTATAAACTGAAACAGAACCAATTGTCTGGGACAGATTGATGAGAAGGAAGTTGGTTACGGGGGAGAAAAGAAAGGGATGCCCCCAAAACAGGGAGTGTTGAGCTTTAAAGATCCTCAAAGAAAAAATTAGACATACAAAAACATCTGAAGTGCAAATGTAAATCTAGATTACTTTTTAAAGCAATTACATAGTCGCAAATTGCCGACATTTTCCTTATGAATAAAAGGGACATCAAATGCATAGGACTCTGGGAGTATAACTTAAGTATATAAATTTAGCAAAGTGAAAATGAAACATTATAAAACCCTTCAAATTAGAAAATGGTTTAATTCTTCATTAGTTCTTTTTTTATATCCTATCTTCTTCTAAAGATAATATCTCTCTTCATCTCTAATTACTGAATTAGCATTTAAAAGTTATTTGGGAACAACTGTGCTTTCTCTAGAGAGAATCAGGATAAGGAAACTATGCAAGTTAATCAATGTTGCAGTTCCATTATTTATTTCCTTCTACTTAAAAGGAAAACAAGCACCCCACTCCTAAAAGAAAACACAACCCACAAAATCACATACTGTTTGGTACCAACTGGTTGCTTGTGTTATTGAGTGTAATTCTGGTGGACGCTTCCTCATCATTTTCCAGACCGTCCAAGTGCGGAACCCTGGAGTCATTCATGACCCCCTTCCTCCTCGCCTCCATCACCGCTAAACAAACACCTATCTTGTTTGTTTCTTCCTCATGTCACTACTTCATCAGGACCAAGACCACAGCATTCTTAACTGAACTATTCTAAATGCCCCTCATAGACACTTCTTCCACTAGCTTATCCTGTTTCTACTCCACTTTCCACAGGTTTAACTGGCTGTCTTTTCTATAATACAGAAGTGATATTTCTAAAATGCAGACATGATCATACCACTCCCTTGCTTAAAAGTCCTCATTCTGTACAGGCGAAAGCCTAATCTTGTGCAATGATATTATGCCTTTACAAATGACACCAGCTACCAGGCCAGCCTCATTTTCAGGTAATCTTCTCTGTCCTTCAGGTCTAGCCACACTGGCCTACTTGCTATATACATGGCCTATAGACGCTCCTGTTGAACTGGCGCCCCCCGCCCCCATCCCCTATCTGCCAAGCTCTCTCCTCGGAAGTTTTTAACTCTGAGCTCGTGTTCACCTCCTTCCTGTAACGTTTCTCAGTCTCCCAAGAATCAGTGCCCTAGCTGGTTTGGCTCAGTGGATAGAGCATCAGCCTGGGACCAAAGGGTCCTAGGTTTGATTTGGGTCAAGGACACGTACCTCAGTTGCAGGCTCCTCCCCAGCTCTGGCCCTGGTCAGGACGAGTACAGGAGGCAACCAATCGATGTATTTCTCTCACATCAATGTTTCTCTCTGTCTTTCCCTCTCTCTTCCACTTTCTCTAAAAATCAATGGAAAAATATCCTCTGGTGAGGATTAAAAAAAAAGAATTAGTATTTTACCTGTATCAATGTTATCAACACATACACATTTGCCTGTATGTGCCATAAATTACACTACATCAGTTACCCCTGCCTCACTGTGAGTTCTCAGAGGATAGGGACAGATTTCACCTTTGTCACTCAAGACCTTGGCATGACTCCTGGCATTAGCAGGCCCTCATTCGTTTAATTAACAGAGACGATGATAACAGTGAAGATGATAAGAGTCTTCATTTCCTCTCCTTTTGTTCTCTTTCAAGCCCATTCCAATCAGGCTTTTGTCTGCCACACTTCAAAGAAATAGTTATCAAGGTTCCCAGTGGCCTCCTTGTGGCCAAATCCAACTGTCTGTGCTGAACATCCCTGTCCTTTAACCCACTGCAGAATTTTACATGGCTGATCTTAAAAAACTTTCTTCCCTTAGTCTCCAGGTCACCACACCCTCCTGGTCTTTCTCCTCCACCACGGGCCACTCTGAAGACTCCTTTGCTAGTCTGTCCTCCTCTCCCTGACCTTCAAATAACAAAGAGCTTCCCAGTTCAGCTCTTAGACTTCTCACTTACATCCTACTCCCCAGTTAATTTCATCCAGTCCCACAGTTCTAATGCCATCCACGTATCAATAGCCCAAAATGTGCCTACTAGTGCTGACCTCACTCTCACCTTTAACATTTAACATATGAACGTGAACTCTTGGTGTCCTCCTCAATTATGTCCCTTCTAAAAGTCTTATCCATTTCCAATAATGGCACCTCCATTCTCCAGAAGTCACATGTCATCCTTGGCTCCTCTCAGTATCATACACCACTTATACATCAACAAATCTTGATGAGTCCAGATTCTAAGGTCTCACTACTTCCTCCACTCCCTTTTTGGTACAAGTTACCTCATCTCTCTCTTTTACTGTTATACACTGAAGCCAAGGTAATTTTCTTTTAAATAATTGATATGATGTCAATTCTGCTTAGAGCTCTTCAATGGCTTCCTGCCTTCCTTAAAGTAAAATCCAAAGGCTCTACATAATCTAGGCTCTGGCTACCTCTCTGGTTTCATCTACCTCTTGCTTTCTTCATTCCCATTATAACGGCCTCTTTGCTATTCCTGAAATATGACAATTAGGGTCCTACCTCAGGTTTTGTTATTCCCTCAACTAAAACATTCTTCCCCAAAACATCCTCTCCCTACTAGAAAATAAGCTGCACGTGGGTAGGGAGTTTCGTCTGGTGTCCCCCCCCCCCCCACACACCACCAAAATTATACCCTTAACTCCCAGAACAGTGTCTTTCATCATATTCAATAAATTGGCACTAAATTAATGTTTGCTGAATAAATGAATTGTCATCCAGGTAGCTCACTTCCCTATTTCTTAAGGGATCTATTTCAATGTTATCTTCTCAAAGGGCCTCCTCTGTTTATCTAAATAAAATCACATGATTTTTCTCCTCTTTCTACCCTTTCCTAGTTCTTCGTAACTCTCAACACAATCTGACATTAAATGAATAAGAATATTCATCTATTCTTATTTGCCTCCTTCACTAGAGGGGACCATCAGTCTTCCACAAAGTACCTAGGAAATCAATATGAACAACAAATGAACAAACAAACTCACAGACACCAGTATGGTGGTTACCAGAGGCAAAAGGTGGTAGAGGGGTAGAAAAGGGTACAGGGGGTCAAATATATGGTATTGGAAGGGGATTTTACTTTGGGTGAAGACACAATGCAATATACAGATGATATATCATGAAATTGTCCAAAAAATAAAGAATAAAATGTGAAAGAAAAACAATAAATATAGCTATCCAACTATTGTGCATCCCCTGAGTCTTGCCCACTCATCAAAGAGCTCTTTGCATTCTATTTCCAACACCTCCTAGAGCACTCTATTTTTTCTTAGTTCAGAGTTGTGAACATTCACCTCAGAGCAAGCCAAAGAATGATAAGGAGACCTAAAACTTTGAAACAAGAAAAACTAATAAAGGAATTGGGGGAAGAGAAAATTCACCTGGACCATATGACTAGACTAGTCAAAGTGGCCCCAATGGGGTAAAAATAGTAATAACAGAAGATAACCCCAGCAAGATAGGTTTGGCTGCATCATACCAAACTACATGGTGTCAAGCAGAAGTGTAAGGCAGGAGGGGCTGCTGGGGGTTGTTATGAGTTCCCAATGAAGGACAAATTCAGTCAGAAGCTGACAGCTACTCTGTATGTATGCATATTCTATAAGTTAAATGAGCACAGATAAGCTTTCTTTTGTGATTGTATGAGCAGAAATCTGGAGTATTATGCTCTACAAGTACAACAAAGTCTCCTTCTAAGCATCGAACGTACATTCTTTTAAATTATTTTGTAATTAAATTAACAAAAACTGATGTGAACTTTCTGCCAATATGCACCAGTTCAAACTCAAAATAGCTCCAAGGTAACCGTGAATACCACACATTTATAACAGCAGAGTAACCTCTGAATTTCATTCTTTCAGGATCAGATATCGCCATCTATACAACATATTTATGAAGTTAAAAGGTCCTTTGAGTTTAGATACTACCTGGTTAACCTAGGATATAGAAGAGGGAGATGGAACTAGAAGGTGATGGAAGGCAAAGAAAGGATATAATCTGAAGCCTGAGGGAAATGAAATTTGTATTTGGGTGCCACAGAAGAGGTCAAAAGCACTTACCAAACTACCTCCTGACCTCCCTCCAATTCTAATGTGTTGACTTCTCCCTTTATTCACACAGCTCTTTCACATAAAACATTCTTATAGAGATAATTGGAATTGTTCCCTCCAGTTCAAAAGGTTTCCATTAGGATGCCTTCCATTGCTCCCAGTTAACACTGGTATTTTAGGCATAAAAATGACGGTAATTATCTGCTTAAAGGCTAAAGTTCTATGTTTACACTCAGGGAAATAGTGCTTGAAGAGAGCAGAGAATCACAAAAATGTCAAGCTGACATAAATAATGGTATAGTAAATGGATCAGTGTTTCAGTTATACCAGTAAAATAAGGAAAGGATATAAAACCTATTGAAGACACTGAGAAATAAAACCTTAATCAATCTTTATTCTCACAGTGAAAGTCATATTTTTTTAGCCTTTCCTGCCACCAATTATCACTACTAAGACAATTCATATTTATGAACTTTTCTGGATGAATTTAAAATACATTTTTACTATCAAAGACTTAAAAGTTAGCCAAAGGTCTTGAGCAAACAATTTAGCATCACTAAGTGGACAAGGGGAAATTCACATTTCTGGTGCCATTTTCACTTATACCAGCTCCCTTTCCTACTCTTCCCTTATCAGACCCATTTTCTTAGACTTTTACTTCATGTGTCAAGCAAATTTTCTTAGCTTACAATGAATTTATATGATAAATGATTTCAGGTGGCATCTTTAAGACCATAAGGGTTCCACTTGCTTTTTACAGCTAAGGAAAACTTAAAGATAAATATGGAGAAAATAAAATTACTAAAAAAGTGCTTATTAAAATTTTGACTAACAGAGAAATATAAGGAAAAATACTACTTCAATCTAGTGGTTCCAGATTGACTAGGCTATATTTTAATAACAAACCAATATAGTGACTAACAAGAAATCAATTAATGTTCTCTGAGAATCTAGATGCAACTTAATGAAGAAAAATAATACACCAGCTTGTGAAAACCTGAGTTCAAGGTCTAGTAAATGACAGATATATTTTCTAAAATAATAAACCAACGCTTATCAGTATGAGAAATAATTTAACATGTAAAACACTAGAAACTAATAGAATATTTAAGAAAAGTGTCTAATATATTGCTGAAGAGCAACAATTTTCAATCAGTGTGCCACAAGAATTTTTAAGACACACAATACCTGGCTATTTAGTCAGGAGCACTGATCTCCTTTCCCTTAAAATGTCAAATAAATAGAAGACAACAGCCAACACAATAGCCGTCCAATGTGAATGAATCAAAACTATTCCTAAATTTTTGTCAGATGCCAGAAATATGGGGGTTTTTTTGGTGTGCCGCAGAATTTTAGTAACGATTTTATGTGTGCCATGAGATGGAAAAGGTTGCAATTGCTGTTGTATAGGCTTATCCTCCAAAGGAGTAAGGACCAGGGAGAGGCCCGGTCAGAGAGCAGCTCGCCTTACAAACTGGAATCACTGTACAGTCTTGTTTCAGGTGCTGTCTTTAAGAGATGGGAAGAATAAGGACGAGAAGAAAAGGTATCTTTAAGAGACAAGATGCCAAAGGGAAAAACAGGCATATTTATTTATTGGGAAGAGAGGTGTAGTTGGTTTTTAAAAACACATTTCTAAATCTGACTACCAGTTCAGGAGAAAATTTATCCTATGAACATAGACAGACTCTACAGATACACTGTTATCAGCAGATGGGTGGCAGCTGGTCTCAAAGAAACCCTAATGTGGTCCCATTGTTTACATGGCCATGCTATTTCGTTATACACTGGATGGTGAAATTGGAAGCATTAAATCCATGTCTTAAGGTTCAAAGATGGAACTGTGCTTTGACCATCAGAAGTTAGTCACTAGTGGAGACGACAGGAAGACATCAGAGTGAATGACTCTAATGGTAAATTACAGCCCATCAATCTTGAGGCACTTAGGAAGAAACAAGAAAAAGTTCAGCAACAGACTAAGATCCAATGGTAAAGGTTATACTAAGTATCAAACAAGGAGAAGCAAAATCAAAACATAGATAAAGGCTAATGGGGTTGAAATCCAATGGACAGAGAGAGAGAGAGAGAGAGAGAGAGGGAGAGAGAGAGAGAGGAAATATGGCTGGGGTGCTTTGACTCTGAAAATGAAGTTCAGGATTAAATGGATATGGCCAAGAAAACAAGCCAGGAGACACGAAACTCACAAATTTGGAGTTTATTCATTTACTTTACAAACATTTACTGAAGAAATGCTATGTGCCAACGTGCTATGAAAAATATACATATATTTTTCCATATGTACATATTTACAAATATGTGCAAGGCAAAAAGATATCCAAATGGTAAGGAAGATGGTGAAACGGATACAGGTTATTTCCTGCGCTCACCTGAGATAATGGTACATGCCTCTCGCTTTACTCATCTCTCTGCTCAAAGATCACCACCCTGTCACCCTGCTTCATTTTCTTCTTAGCACTTAAAAGTATCTGACACTATATTATGTATTTGTTTATCTGTCTCTCTGCCCCAATAAAATATAAGTTCCAAGAAGACAGGAATTACCTCTTTTGCACAAACTGATGAATTCCCAGCACTACAAAAATGCCTGGCATATAATAATTATTTCAATAAGTATTCCTTAAAAGACCGAATGATTACATTGTTTTATAAAAACATCATAACAGAAGTATGCACATAACACAGAGCATATAAGAAAAGTGGGAAATGGTTGCTTGTTTAGGTTGATGAAGGAACAAAGTAAAAGTCAGGCAACCCTGGGGTTAATGTAAGTGCAGAGAAACAAAGTGAACAGCAAAAATCTCTGGCTATAGTAACCAACCATAAGCAAAAGATGTTCTTCTTTTAGATGCTTATGCTAGCTTGAACACTACAGAGCATCAGCCCTGTGTGGTGATCTAACCTATCTTCTTAAAACATGCACTTCATTGTGTGACATAGTCAAGAACCCAGCCTTCCCACTGCCAGCCAATTAACGCACACTTGAATCCCAAGGCCATTTAGAAAGCGGTCCTGAACACTGCAACACCACCCTCGGCAGATACCAGTGCCCATCACAAAGACCTGCCAAACTCTGGGCTTGCTCCCACCTCAAAGCCCTTGCTCAGACTCCGAACCTTACTCTGAATGCCCTTCTTCTTTTTCCCACGCAGCCCATGCCTGTTCATCAAAGCCTAGCACAGGTCCCACTTCCTCCTTCAGTCATCCTGACATGACATATGCACATACACCTTTCCTCTCTTTGAACTTGTAGTGGAAGTATAGCCAATGTCATTTTCGTCTATGTATACAAGTTTTCACTCTCCAATCAGATGATAGGAACTCTTCACTTGACTTCCTCTGAGTAATCAATATAAGTCTTGGGCACTCATTATACACATAGACATACATTTATATGCAGTGGATTAGACAGCTAATTTCTATTTTCTATAATCCCAAAGAATTGATTCCAAATGATCACTTACCATATCAATGAGGCTCTCTTGTATTCTGTTTAAAGTTGTTCTTAGTCTACTACTACTAAGGCCCAGTCCTGTTGATTCCAACTGGAAAAGAAGAGGAGAGGTATGTTAAATAGGTGTGGAGATAATCTCGCAAATGTCATAACTTCAAATTAACCAAAGTGAAGCATCTGATGAGTTTTCACTAAGATACTCAGCCTTTACCAGCGGTTCTCAACCTGTGGGTCACGACCCCTTTGGCGGTCAAAGGACCCTTTCACAGGGGTCGCCTAAGACCATCCTGCATATAAGATACTTACATTACGATTCATAACAGTAGCAACATTACAGTTATGAAGTAGCAATGAAAATAATTTTATGGTTGGGTCACAACATGAGGGACTGTATTTAAAGGGCCAGATGGTTGAGAACCACTGCTTTAGAGGGTTTCCAAACTCCATTTAAAAATTCCAAAACATCAAGCAAAGAACTCAGACCTTAGCCCTGACGAATAAGAAACTGTTTATACATGTGTATTTTTTTACAGGTCACAATAGCATCTATCAATCTAATGAATTTATCAGGATAGAGTTACTGGAATTTATTTCCAAAAAGTTACTATTTTTAGTTAAAAATCTTTATATTTTAAACACTTAAAGACAGTACACTGTGCTGTATTTCTGAAGAAGCATACTAGTGTAGTGTTGCTAATTTATTTTTAACACAAATTAGAAACAGCCTAAATCTTCATTCAAACATTAATGAAATTTTCATTATGCTCAGTAAACATTTCACAGTATAGAATTCTCTTCACTACAACAAAGCCAAAGCATTTATAAAAATCTTCACACAAGAACATACATGAGAAGTGAGACTTGACTGTTAAGAAGTGAAAAGTTGGCTCCTTGAGTGTTGATTTGGTTGAATATAAATTTAAAGGTGATCATAGATACATATAGATACATGGAAAAATGTTAAAATATTCTATATGAGACAATAAACTTAAAATGTTATTAATAGTAATCTATAAAATACATTGTCTCAGTAATTGATTCATAAAAATTATATGTGTGTCTGTGTGTGTTGCCCTAGCGGGTTTGGCTCAGTGGATAGAGCATTGACCTGTGCACCACAGGGTCCTAGGTTCGATTATGGTCAAGGGCACGTTTGGTTGCAGGCTTCTCCCTGGCCTGGGCCCTGTCAGGGCTCATATAGGAGGCAACCAATAGATGTGTTTCTCTCACATTGATGTTTCTGTCTGTCTTTCCCTCTCTCTTCCACTCTTCCTAAAATCAATGGAAAAGTATCCTCAAGTGAGGATTAACCAAAAAACAATTAAAAATATATATATATATGTGCGTGTGTGTGTGTGTGTGTGTGTGTGTAAGTACACAAGCATACACACACATTATTGTTCCTCACATCTTCCTGAGATTCAAGAATGAGAAATTACTTACACAAGATATGTTAGAAAGCTTCTAGCCAAAATAGCTGTGTAATGGCATGGTGTAGTAAAACATGAACTAATTTTATATGGTAACTTTGCAATACTTTATTTTTGCTAGGTATAACTTTAATTCATTTTCTTCTTTTTTCATTAGGTATTATATATAGTTAAATTCATCCATTTTTAGTAAAATTTGGTAATTGTATACAGCTTTGTAACCAGCACAATCAAGATATAGAAGAGTTCCCTCACCTTTAAAAATGTCCTCAAACCTTTTGCACTTCATCACCTCCCTTATCCTCTTACCCTTACTTAACCCCTGATCTGCTTTCTGTCTTTGTAGTTTTGCCTTTTCTGAAATTCCATATAAATGGAATCATACAGCATGTAGTCTTATGTTTAGCATGCTTTTGAGATTCATCCATGTTGCAAGACTATTAGTATTTATTGCTCTTTTACTGATTAATAGTATTCTATAATATGGACACAGCACAATCTGTTTACTTATTCACCAGTCAATGAATATTTGGGTGCCAGTTTGGAATTCTTGAATAATACCACTATGAATATTCATGTCTTGCCTTTGTTTAGACATACACTTTCAGTTCCTTTCATTTCTGGTTAATATGATATATTTTTAACTATACAAGGTACTGCCATACTGTTTTCCAAAGTGGCTATACCATTTTGTATTTTCACAAGCAATTATTACAAATTCCAGATGCTCTATGTGATGGACAGAATGTTTGTTGTTCCCTTCCACTCCCAATACAAATATTCAAGCTCTAACCCCCAATGCAATGCTACTTGGAGATGGGGCCTTTGGGAGATAATTAGGTTCAGGTGAGGTGATGAGAGTGGGGCTCCCATGCTGGGATTAGTACCATCATGAGAAGAGACACCTAAGAGCTTGGTCTCTTTCCACAGGAACACAGAGAAAAGGCCATATGAGGATACAGCTAGGGGGCTGCTGACTTTTTGTCTACCTATTTGATTAAGTACTGTGTGGTGTGAAAATCATCAGCTATCATTAAGTTTTTTTATTTTCTCTTTGAAATTTTTTTATTAATTGATTTGAGAGAGAGAGAGAGAGAGAGAAATTTTTGTGGTTCCACTTATTTATTCATTCATTGGTTGATTCTTGTATGTGCCCTGACCCTCCAACAGATGACTGAGCTACCCAGACTGGGCCTTTCATTTTCTCTCGAATTCTGTCAATTATTGCTTCATCTATTTGAACCTCTGTTCTTAGGTACATTTATTATACACCCTTATTATCATTATATCTTCCAGTTGAATAGTTGAATTGACCCTTAGATCATTATGAGTCCCTCTATCTGTGGTAATAAATTTTATTTTCAAATTTATTTTATCTAATCATTACTGTTTACATGGCATATCCTTACAAGTCACATGCTTTCAACCTAGGTGTGTTTTTTGTTAGAAAGTATGGGCTTTGTTTTTAATCCATTCTGACCATCTCTGCCTTTTGAGTGTTTAGTCCATTAACACTTAATGTGAATATTGGTTGTAGATACTATTATATGTAGATGTAAACACATACACCACACACCTCTTTTTAGTTTTTGGATTCCTCCTTTCCTGCCTTTTCTGATTATATAATTTTTTAAGTTATACTTTAATTTTCCTGTTGGCAAAACAGTTAAAGTTCTTTGTATTATTTTTCATTGTTGTCCTATGGATTATAATATACATTCTTAACATTTCACAGACCATTTACTATTTACAATGCACTGCTTTACATAATATATGTAAACCTTGCCTTCTTATAAGTCAATATCCCTTAACACTCTATTATAGTTGTTATATGTAATACATTTATTATGAACTCCAGACAACAATGTTAGAATTTCAGTTTAAACAACTATATGGTTTATAAAGAAGTTAAATGGAAAAATAAAAAATATTTTTTAAAATTATATTTTATTGACTTTACAGAGAGGAAGGGAAAGGGATAGAAACATCAATGAGAGAGAAACATCGATCAGCTGCCTCCTGCACAACCCCTACTGAGGATGTGCCGGCAACCAAGGTACATGCCCTTGACTGGAATCGAACCCAGGACCCTTCAGTCCGCAGGTTGACGCTCTATCCACTGAGCCAAACTGGTTAGGCCTAAAAAATATTTTTTTTATATTTCCCCAAGTAGTTTCCATTACCAATGCTCTTCATTCTTTTCTGAGGACCCATGTTTTCATATTGTATCATTTTCCTTCGACCTGAAAAACTTCCTTCATCATTTCTAGTATTACATGTCTAGAAAGCCACATCTAAAAGCATTTCATTCCCCAACGTTTCCAAAGGACCCCATTTTAATGCATCTGATAAAAGATCTAGAACTTTTCTATCTGATATGACAGTCACTAGCCACATGTGGCTATCTATAATAATAAAAGTGTAATATGCTAATGAGACCTGACGACCTTCCAGACAAAGTCGCGGCTGCGAGGGCTGAGCCCCTTGCATGAATTTTGTGCATTGGGCCTCTAGTTTACATATAAAGATAAAGTAGGGGAAATTAAAAACAACTTAAATTTCAGCTCCTCAGTCACACTAATCACATTTCAGGTACTCAATAGCCACATGTGGTTAGTGGCTACCTTATTAGGCAGTGCAAATACAGAACATTCCATTAGGGCAACATTTCTCTCGAACAGCACTACTCTAGAGGCACAGCCCAGGTGACAGAGGGAGGCTCAACAAAAAGACAGAATGATTCTGACAATTAGCTAAAATTCTAGAATATCTTTTTTTCTTTAATATTTATATACTGAGTTTCCAAAATCACAGTGAGGAAATAGTACATATTTAATAGTAACATAAATTCTTCATCAACACTTTGTCTCTGATTATATTAGAATTCCTTCTAAGGAACATTTTGGAGAATTAAGATCACAGGAAATTCAGATGCCATATTAAAAGATTATATCATTTATATATTTATAATCACAGCAAAGATATGAACATTTATATGATGAATGTAGTTATCCATTAAAATTCACATTTTAAAAAGGTACAAAATAAAGTCTATTTAAAAATATCATGACATGTTTATAGAACCAAACAGTATGCTTTTGCACAGAAAACTACCAAACATCTAGGTGAACCACATAATAATTCCCAAATATCAGGTCGATTACCTGCCAAATACTGTGTTGTTCTCCATAGGAGTAGAAAAAGACAAACTCAATAAGAGCTTTGAAAACACAAAATGGAGGAGCAGAAACATTAGTTCTGTGGCAGGCAGATGGTTTAGTTCAAAAATTTTCAATTATTTTAATAAATATTTTCCATTATCTTCTGAATGTAGTAGTGCCTACTAAGGCTGTTAGCCAATATTTAAAACATCTCATTTACTATGTGGTAATTATGCACTGGGCCAGATCTGAACCAGGCAACCTGCACATTTTTCATTGCCAAAATACGACGAGGTTAGAAACAGATGCTGTATTTTTTCTGCCAAAAATCTGAATAACATACAATATGTTTATCATATCAAAGCTTAAAATTAACATATAAATAAGGCAATTAGGCAGGCAGAAAGCTGATATCAATAATTTTGTTGGGTTTTTGATGAATAATTTTTCAAAATAATGCTATTTGTGTATTTTATACAGAGGGCATGAACTGAACTTTACATTTGAAAAATAAATAGATATGTAAAACAATCAGACTTTCCCCTCAAAGGTTGACTTACTGAATCATTCCGACCAAAGAAGGTATATACTGCATATAAGTAATAATCAAATAGCTGAGACATGAAATGGATGACATCAAAGGCAATTGGCTTGAGAATGTTCATCATCTGCATATATTTACCTGAAAAGAAAAAGTAGATCAAAATTAAAATTGGTTATTTGTAATTATAAAGTGACAATAAAATTATTTACTAAAATATTTTTTAAAATAAAGTATTATATTCCACAGTAGCCACATTTCAATTATTCAACAGTCATTTGTGGCTATTGGCTACTATATTGGGCAGCAAGATACAAAACTGTCATATCATCTTGGAAAGTGCTATTGGACAGCACTGATATAAATAATACCTACAAAGATGTTTTACATCATCATTTTTATGGTCTGTCAAATATTCATGGGAATCTTATACTGTTTACAAATAACACTGTGCAAACACACAACATAGTTCCTCATTTCTTAGAGATTCCACTTGAAATAATTGCTTCAAAAATGTTTACGTATAACAGAACAGAAGACAATGTATTTGAGAAAAAGTGGTGTTTTTTGTTTTTGTTTTTTTTAATAAGTGTATACACAACAGAAAAAGTAAAAAGGCAAGAAGGAATGGGGAACATGGAAGGCACTTCCCATTCCCCTAAACTGTAGGCCTGTGAAATCTTATGTCAAAGGCCAGGAACACTACATCACTTAAGAGCTGGGTACTCTCAAAATGCCAAGAACATATATTCCTCACTCCTTCCTTTGGGAAATGCCAGGATTCTATTCTCCTTCCTCTCAACATATGATACAGTTACAGCGGGGAAAAAAAAGTAAAAACCCAAATGTATGCATTTATAAACTTGTTAATGTATTTGAAGGGTGCATGGGAGAGGGGCTGAATCAATAAACAAATAATAACAAGTCCCTAACTGTTTCTTTTTTATGGAAAATAATAGGGAAAGCAGCATATCTATTAAGAATGTTCTTCTACAGAAGATGTTAAAACAGGCCATTTGCTTCCTTTCCAAATGAGTAAATAATTCAAGTGCTGGCTCCACTTTATGTCACTGCTGTAAATTTTAATTGGTACTATTGAAGATGCCATGACTCAAGAGAAAACACATTAATGGCAATAGAAAAGAATGACAAATTCACTCTAATAGAAATGTCTACTATCAAAACCATGTCTTTATTACCAAGAACTCAGTACATCTGTCTTAATTTACATGAGATGATAAATAGTCAGATGGTCAGAGAGAGAAACACACAGCACACACACATTGAAAAGTAAAAACCATTCAACTTAGATTTCATTCTTCCTCCTACTTGTAAGTCTTTTGTTTCAGAATCATCTTTGCAATTATGCCACAGACATTCTTTTATTAATCACAATTGAAAAATATTTGAAGTATATGCTCCTATGGATCACTACACAGATATTTCATTGACTACAATCAGGCAGTTTATTAAGCTGTAACTATTTACACATAAAATAATAAGACACTGTGAAGAAAAATAAAAGGAAAAGTGTTATATTACATGACTTTAACCTGTAAACGCAAAAGAGAGATGAATAGGTAGAATGCTCATATCTGGGTTGGGACATATCCAGAATACAAAGCTTCTTTCCATTCCTAATAATAAGATTAAGCATTGTTAACATAATTAATCTTAAGGAAGAATATAAAAATAATTATTAATAGGTAGAACATTTAAATGTGCATTCTGAAGGAAAGAAACTAGATGTTCCCCATTACTTTGAAAAAAACAAATTTAAACAACTATATTCATTCATTCATTCATTCAATTAATTCATATAATCAGCACTTTTGAAGGCTTACTATGTACTCTGGCCTTGTGTTAAGACCTAAGGAATTACAGAGTCCCTGCTCTCACACCTTAAATACATGGATGGCAGCCACCGATAAGCAGATGACCAGTGTATTAAAATGTATGAGAGTGAGGACTCTGTCTTTCCAGTTCAAGAGAGCAGAGTAGTGTTTGGAGGCCTGCGGAAGCTTATGTACCTCCTCACTACTGAATTTAAAGAGAACTTCACCATGAATTAAGCCTATGTCTATGATGAGATGAGAGTGAGGAGGTAAAGTTGGGTAGGTATGATTATCAGAAAATGAGAAATCTCAAAAAGTTTTTAGACCAGGGATTAGCAAACCTTTCCTTTAGAGACCACAGAGGAGAAAGGTTAGGCTCTGTGATAACTAATCTGCTCTGCTGCTCTCTTTTCAACTATCCCACTCTAATTTCCTGGCACAAAAGCAGATATAGGCAAAATGCAACAAGGGAGCAGGGTGCATTCCAATAAAACTGTATTTATAAAAATAGGCAGCTAGACGATTTGGCCTGTAGGTTCTAGTTTCCCAACTGCTACACTAGATGACAGATAGTAAGTGGGGGCAGATTGATGGAAAAAACGCAAAGACATTAGTAAAACATAAGAGGACCAAAAAGGGAGATATTAGCTAGGATGGTCACTGCTTGGAATCAGCAGGTACAGCGAGAGAACAGGAGAGAGAAATGGGGCTGAAAAATGATAGATTAACTAAAGGTCCACATATGGGACAAACTTACCTCTCATCCCCCTTTTCTGGACAATTACAATTAGAAGAAAGATAAACAGAAAGAGACCAAAAAAGTGCCTCCATTCTGGTGACAAGGAGTGGTGGGGTGGAGACTGCCACTTTTCATTACAAGCTCTTCTTTATTATTTAATGTGTTACTATGAGATGTACTGCCTTGATAAATATCTAAAAGCATGGCTCTGATGTTAGTCTTCCCAGTTAAAAAATGTGGTTCAAGTGGTTCAGATGCACGCTGCCCTCCCTTCCTTCCTTTCTAATGTCCCTTATGGGCCGCAGTGAGAGGGGTGGACACAGCAAGCTTTGGGAGCACTGCAGAAGGCTCTCTACTATATAGCCCAGATGACCAAGAAAGACATCTCTTTCCAAATCATCAGCTGCAAGAAGTTCCTATTCCTGCCTCCAACATTGTAATCTTTTTGAACTTTGTCTGGGATCAGAATTCATGCTCCTTTGCTCCCCCCGTGGCTGTGAAGCATGAAAGTTAAGAGCTTGCTGGCTCTAGGATCAGACGCCCTGGACTCTACCACTTACCAGCTGTGTGACCTAAGGGAAATTATTTATCTCTGGACCTCAATTGTTTGGTGCATATAAATGAGGACTGTGAAGAATTCATGAGGAAATGCATGTGAAATATTTACACAGCATATAATAAGGGAGCAAGAAATGTAGCTATTGCTATTATTTTAAAGTCCTATATAATAAAAGGCTAATATGCAAATCGACCAAACAGGGAACAACCGGTCGCTATGATGCGCACTGACCACCAGGGGGCAGACGCTCAACGCAGGAGCTGCCCCCTGGTGGTCAGTGCACTCCCACACGGGGAGCGCCGCTCAGCCAGAAGTCGGGCTCACAGCCGGCTGGCTGGCTGGCGAGCGCAGCGGCGGAGGCGGGAGCCTTTTCTACCTCTGTGGCAGTGCTAAGGACCTCTCGGAGGATGTCCGTCTGCTGGCTTAGGCCTGCTCCCCACTAAGCTGGCAGGCAGACATCCCCCAAGGGGTCCCAGATTGCAAAAGGGTGCAGGCCAGGCTGAGGGCCCCCCCCCACCCCCAGTGCACAAATGTCGTGCACCAGGCCTCTAGTTATAATTATAATGAACACAATAAGGCAGGGGTCCTCAAACTTTTTCAACAGGGGGCCAGTTCACTGTCCCTCAGACCGCTGGAGGGCCGGACTATAGTTTAAAAAAAAACTATGAACAAATGCCTATGCACACAGCGGCAGCAAAAACACCCGGCGGGCCGGATAAATGTTTTCAGCGGGCTGCCTGTGGACCGTGGGCTGTAGTTTGAGGACCCCTGCAATAAGGGATAAGTATATAGTGTTACTTGAAGGGAACCTAACCAAATCTGGGGAAGTGGAAAAACTTCCCAGGGAAGCACTGTTTAAACTCTCTCCTAAATCTAGACCGTGAGTCCTGCATATGCATGGGGAGAATACACACAAAGGAACTGGCAAAGAACCCAACCAGTAGCAGCACGAACAAGGACCACAACCGAGAGGAAGAATCGTGGGCCTGCCTTAACCAGTTCATCAGTTGGGGGGCACAGAGAGAGGAGTATGGTTACCACAAGAATGGTGATCTAGGGAAGTTCAGTGAGCCACAACTCCTATGCAGAGGAGGACATACAAAGATAAGGAGAAGGCAACGGAAGCATGTGCGTGTGTGTTGGGGGGCGGGGGATGATTTCTCCCATTCACAGTGGACTATGACAAGAGAGGAGGAAAAGGTGTTTCTCCAATGTTCAAGATTTTTAAAATTAAGGATGTTGCCGAAATCGGTTTGGCTCAGTGGATACAGCGTCGGCCTGAGGCCTGAAAGGTCCCAGGTTCGATTCCGGTGAAGGGCATGTGCCTGGGTTGCGGGCACATCCCCAGTGGGGGATGTGCAGGAGGCAGCTGATCGATGTCTCTCTCTCATCGATGTTTCTAACTTTCTATTTCTCTCCCTTCCTCTCTATAAAAAATCAATAAAATATATTAAAAATAAAATAAAATAAAATTAAGGCTTGTCACTCCAACATATATTGGGCACCATATATTTTCAAAAACGAAAAGCACTTGGCTGGGAGCTCTATACACTGCAAAGATACCCCAAACTCTCTTCATCTGTAAGAGCTGACAATCCGATGGGGCAAGAGCAAGAACAGACTCTGAGTTGGAAAGATGTTTGTCATTCTTACTGCAGTACACTAAATTGAAAGGTCAGCAATAGAGATAAATAGCACATAAAGGCCAACTTAAATGCTATAAATGAGGCACAAAGGAACGGAAGGAGAAGCTAGTGCAGCTCAAGCAATTTAGAAAAAGTGTATTGACCAATGAAGTGAAGATCAGAGTAAAAAATTAACAGGTCTGTTAGCTAAGTCCCTGGCTACCAGTTTTTATTCTGTTATTTGAATATTATATCTTAGCCTCCACTCCACCCCCCAAATTTCCAGTATCATTTTCTTATAACATGTACTGAGGGATGACACTTCTTGGATCATCCTTCAAAATACCATGTTGTATATAAAGCTATCAACACAGAAAGTGTTT